CCCCCCCCCCAACCAGCGCCTCCGATGCCCGGCTGCCGGACAGAGTCCGAAATCCCACAGCCCCTAGACTGAGCAAAGGGAACTTCCCGGGCGGCCTCTCCTTTTAATTGGTGCTAATTGCTGCGTCTGTTCGCGCTGGCTGGGGGATGTCATTGTTGAAAGGCACAGAGGGGACAGCTCGGGGAGCTAATCCAGCTTTCAGCCGCTAAGCCCTTCGGAGGCGGGTGATGGAGAAGCTCTTTCAGGTCCCTTCAGAGAGGGCACAAAGCCCGAGAGGGGAAAGGGAGAAAGAAGGGGAGCGAATCAACAGGGAAAACTGCTTTCACACGCAGCTCGGGGAAGGGTCTTTGTGCGCAGGGCTTGTCGGGGGGGAGCTTGAAGGGACCGCGCTGCGCCCCCGCCTCCTCTTCTCTCCCTCGTTTATCTTTTCAGCCCCATCTGCCAAAAGGGTGACACAGCTGGGGGCAGGGATGCTCAGGAGCACGGTTCCGCGGAGCGAGACCCTCACTCTGTGATGGACAAGACAGGCAGGAGATCTGCAGATGCTTCCCCAAAATGAGCCTCCTCTGGTTTAACCCCTTTTGTGCCAGCAGAGCCACCTCCGCTGCCATCCCACTGCTTTACCGGAGGATTCAGCAGTGAGGCAGATGCGGCGTGGGGTGCACAAGGGAGGCAGCCAGCCGGTTGGGGTCCTCCTGCTGTCCCAGGGGTTTTCCATAGGTTCACCCACCAGCTGGAGCCCTGCCCTGCCCGACCTGCCAGCAGCTGGAGCAGCAGCCACGGGCAGGGCAAAAGGTTGAGGAGTTTTTAGCTGAGCCTTGCTCCAAAACTCATCTTTCTGAGACAAGTGGGAAGCTGACACATTCCCACAGGGCATGAGGATGCCTAAAGCATTGGCTCTGGCACTTGCTTTGAATCCGTTGCCTTTTTAGCCTTTCTTAGAAGAAACGTGCTGTAACATATATATATTTAAGCCGACAGCTGGGATCTCAACAAGGCATCGATCACAAATACTAACAAGTCCCTCTGACCTCTGGCACATCCACTGAGCCTTTCAGGGGCTGATTAATGGTACAGCTTTCCCTTGTCTCCATCCTCCCGCCACCCCCTGGGACCCGGGCTCCGGTCCAGCAGGAGCAAGAGGCTGTTCCTCCCTCTCCCAGACCTTCACAGGGCTCTGGCATCTCCCAACCCCATCCCAAATCAGGACAAAAGGCAAAAACCTCCATCAAAATCCCGCAAAGATTCATGAGCAGGACAGCCAAGCAACGCCAGTTTGATGTTTCGGAAATGTTTCACTTCGACAACGACGATTTCAACTCATGGAAACCTTTGCAAGGACAGACGAGCCAAAACTGCCACCGTGCCAGACCGAACACAAATGATAAAATGTTGAATTGAGGTGTCTCAAGTATTTCCTTAATCTCTGCCAGGTTTTGCTGCCTGCCCCCTGCCCCAAAGCACATCTTGCAGGGAACCACCACAATTCCCTCTCCTGGCCCAGGGACAGCTGCTTTGGTGCCCAAGAGAAACACCCCTAGTCGGGTACCCCGCATCCCACACTGAGGTTTGCTGACCAGCTGGAAGACATCAGTGACTTTTTTGGAAGGTTTTGGTGCTTTGGCTCATGGTCAAACCACCCTCTTCCAGGGAGGCACCTGCAGCAGAGATGGGGCAGATGCCTGAGCCTTTCCCAGCCCTCCAGTGAGGTGGACGCTCCCCAGCATCTCCAGACAAGCACTCTCCATTGCTTTGGCTCAGCACCCATCGCTTCCTCCCACAACGACCCGTTATAGGGTTTCAGCCTGAGAAAAAACCAAATAAAATATTTCAAAATCGCTTACCCAGGCACTCGTTGGCCTCGCGGGCGCTGGCCCGCTGCCAGGGCCGGTCATAGTGGAAGGGCTTGCAGCGGTCACACTCGGGGCCCTCCGTGTTGTGCTTGCAGTCGCACACCAGCTTCTGCTCCTTGTCCTTCACGCAGCGCGCCGCGTGCCCGTTGCACTTGCAGCGCCCGCCGACCTGCAGCTCCCCCACCGCGTAGTAATAGGGGGTCGAGCCGGTGCCCCCCTCCTCCTCAC